GCTCTCGTGAGCCCTTAAACCCTAAACCCCTACACCCCTAAACCCCTAAAACCCTAAACCCTAAACCCCTAAACCCTAAACCCCCAAAGCCCTAAACCCGAGAACCCTCAACGGCAGAACCCCTGTGTCGCCTGGTTCCTGCGCCTTGGTTCGCGCCGATCTTCCATTTTTCAAGTGCCGAGGCCGCGTCCCCATAAACCCACCGGGCTCATGAATTCAGGGATTGGGGCGAAGAGGGTTTAGGGTTTAGGGGAGAAGTAGCAGGGCTTGCCTTTTGTAGGTTCTTGTGAAGGAATTCCCAGGTAGTATTAGGGAGGCCCCTTCAAGGGGACCCTTCTTTACCCTGCTTATGGCAATCTTAAAAGGGAACTTATTTGAGAGGGTCTATATCCCCAATTGTCACCCTAATCCTAACTCCTAGGAATCGAATTTAAGTTTCCATGAGAACGAAAGCATATACTTTACTAGTACCACTGGTCACTTTTGCGGTATCTTGCATGAAGTTCCTTCACAAGAACCCAGTTGTTCATGGGCCCTGCGCCCTTCACTAAGGAATACCTGTATCCGAAAAGAACTACTTTTTTTATGGCTCGTTATTGTGGATTCTATCATTCTATCAATCTATCTATCTATCTATCTATAGATAGATAGATAGGTAGGTAGTTCCTTAAAAGGGTAGGTCTTCTCGGCCACAGGTATGCCTCAATCTGCCCAAAAACCTTAGCATGGATCCTTGACATTGAAGCCAAAACGAACGGACATTGGAATCTCTCTGAACCCCGAACCCTAAGCCCTGACATAGGGGCCTTAATCATTAGAACAGGGCTCTGGGGCCCATTATATTATGTCTAGAATAAGGAACCCCCCAAAATAATATTGGAAATTATTTGGGCCCCTAGATTAGACCCTTCTGGGTGTGCTTGAAAACTTGAGATCATGTGAGCTATAGCTGGACGGCCTCCAAGGCCCAGAGCGCGTTAGGGTTTTTGGGGTTTAGGACTTCGGATGTGGGGTTTAAGCTTGCCTTGTGTCAGCTTCTAGGCATAAAGTCGAAAAATTAGATCGGAAATTTTGTAAAGCTTCTAATCTGGAAGAGTACATGATTCTGCGAGGTTCAGAGAAGGAGGCCAGCGGGAGCTATGCCAGGCTCTCAGTTGCTGAAGGTTAGGTGGTGGGTCTTCGGGGTTCCAAATCTGGAGTGTGCCGGACAGTGGGCTTCATGCATTATTTAGCTATTTCTCAAGTTTAGCGGCATGGAGTGTAAACGGTTGAGGGCCAGGCAGGGCGTTCGGGGTTTGTGGAACCGCTCATGTTGACGGTAATGCGCGAGGATAACCACTGGCAGTCATCTGATGACGATGGTGATAAAGATGATAATGGTGTTTTTGTTGATGATGTTGTTTACGATAACGGTGATGGCGATGATGATGATCAATGCGGACGGCGATAGCTGTACAGTGCAGCACTGCGCAAAATCCAGTGTTAGCTTGAGATGGCACACTGTGAGAATCGTGGTATATTCCGTACTTTGAACATTTGCAGAAGTTTGTTCATCAGCAGTATTGCATAGTGGGACAATGGCGACGGCGTCACCAAGAACGGCTATGTTCTTTTTGAAGTGTTCAACTTGGTGGACTCGTGCCTGAAACAAAAGTCTTGGAAGAGAAGAAAGGCAGGTCGCAGGGAATTGAAGCCGGCAGTATCTCATACCTCTTGACAACACAAGCCTGCCAATAAGGTTCAACTGGTCCGCATGGTCCAAAGGAAGCTGCACTGAGTTCGGCTTCTGCTCGGAGGAGCAGGAACGAGCAGCGCACGTTGGTCGACATCAGTACATACTTTTGCTCGAAAGTACTTATATCCGAACTTTAAACCCTGAACCCCAAACCCTCAACCCTAAACCCCCTTGAAGGCCAAAGTATGTACTACAAAGCTGCATGGACCCTTAGGGTCTCAAGGTTACAGCGATCCTCTTCGTGGTCTTTCAAACGTTGAGATTATCGGGCCGGCATTTTTAGAACCAACATCCCCTTCTGGTCTCTATATAGCAGAAGAGTGCACACCAAAACTTGTGGTTCGGGTTTGGGGCTCAGGCTTTCGGGTTTCCACACAGCACGAGACCCAGAGGCCTTGAGTTGGAAGAAGCTTCTGAGCTGCCGTAGTAACGAAGCCACATCATCTACCAGAAATTCTATAGTCCTGGACCAAAAGGGGTATATGGTCCCAAATTAAGGGTATTTGGGGTCTAATAGGGTAGATGGAGGGTCCAGGGTAGTAACTTGTATACGTTTCCTTACCAAGAACCCAGTATTTCTCACTTTTATCATTTGCGAATTGGAGCTGCTCAACACCCGTCTTCTGAAGTTGCTCGACCGCAACCCCCCACCATCAAAAATGAAAGCAAGGTCCAAACCTTGGTTCCACGCTGGAAGGCTGTTGAGGGAATTGTGGGTATAGGTCTTATACACTATATAGGAGCCTAAAAAATTACCAATACTATTTTGGGGGTTCCCTATTGCATTTACGGTACTAAATGCACCCCGAAACCCTAGTCAAATTATTAAGGCTTCTACATTCTAAGGGTTTGGAGGTTCGGGCTCCACCTGTCAACGATTCGAGCGGTCCGAGACCTGCACCGGTTTGCGGAGAGAGCGGAAGCCAAGGTACGCTGCCTTCCTCTCGCGGCTGCGACAAGAGGACACTGGCAGAAGCCCGCACTTTCCATGTTAAACCAACCCTAAACCCTAAACCCCCAAACCCCTAAACCCTAAACCCCTAAGCCCGAAACCTCAGATCACAAGCCAGGGATCCCCAGTAGTAGGGCCTGTGCAGCGGGCCGTTCTACTTGGAACTTCTGTCGAAGTATCTCGGGTAGGTTGGATAAGGCGAGCGCAATCCCCGAAGGCAAATAGCGTAAAGCTTGGAGCTGCAAAGGAATGGTCAGTGCCTAAGGTAAGCATTCCAACATAGGGGCCGGAATAGTCAGTCATATTGTTCCCGTATGGTCCATATTCTAGTTGTTATAGTGTAATATGCCCCCCGAAACTCCGTTCCGATTATTGAGGCATTGAGGCGCCTGCATGAAACCCCTGAACCTCCAGCTGGGATCTAATCCGGGCAGGTGCTAACCTGACCGGCATCTATGGCTCAGCTAACTCCAGACTCTTAAACCCTAAACCCTAAAACCTTAGACCCTAAACCCTTAAACCCTAAACCCTAAACCCTTAGACCCTAAACCCTTAAACCCTAAACCCTTAAACCCTAAACCCCTAAACCCTTAAACCCTAAACCCTGAAACCCAAGACCCTTAAACCCCAAACCCCAAACCAATCAGCACAGGTCCAGGATCCCACGGAACTCGAAGCCCGCACGCTAAACTCTAAACATCTTAACCCAAACCCATCGGCGCGATAGGGTTTTACCCATAGGCCCCTAAGTAGGGTCCTTTTTGGGATTACCTTATAGGATTCTACATAGAAACCATAATAAAAAGGAACTACTTAGGGGCCTATGGGTAGGGTCACCGGCGGTGGCAAAAGGGCCGAAAAAAGGCTGAAACCCCCAAGCGTTGGTGGCCTCTCCTCAGCTGCAGAGGACGTTTTCGATGCAGCGCTGCCAGATGCATCTGGTCGGCTGCACCTTGCCTGCGAGAACTAAGGGGGCTGAGTTATAGGGGCCTTAATATTATGATTTCAGGTACATATTAGGGTTTAGGGTTTAGGGTTTAGGGGTTTAGGGGTTTAGGGGTTTAGGGATAGAAAGGGGGGGATTCTAAGGGGCTGAGTACGTAACCTTTAACCTTATTGGGGCTTTTATAGTCCTACTAGAATTAAAAAGCTTAAGCTTTTTTGGGCTAGGGTACTCCGCCCCTAAGAGAAGGTCCGGCTTTGTAATGGACATGGACATACCAAAGTTTGGGGTTTAGGGCTTTGGGGGTCCCGCCTCTGGGGAGAATAGAAGCAAAAACATGAGCAGCATTTTACCCCACATCTGTAATGGTGGGGTCCTCAGTCGCCTTGTGATTCGGCACCCTGGCGAATGAGGGGAGGGTCAGTAGCAAAACAACGGCCTTTGCGGTGCACCTTATGCCTCCTCGGAGCGTAGGCTGCAAAGGTTTAGAAGTTTAGGGTTTAGGGTTGACATAATCATCTAAGCCCTGCAAAACTTTATCAAAGCCTTCTACCTTTGTTTAACCCTCTGAGCCTTGCAATAAGGCGCATCAACATACCCTTCGCTGGGCGCTTCGCTGAGCGAGAGCAGTGGGTGCGCTTCCTCCGCGAGGAGGCCGGAGAGAATCCCTTTAGAGTAACTATATGAACTAAAGAATAGCGACAAATAATTACGGTAATGAACATGACTATGATAACAACAAAAAACTGACTGCCAAATACAGCCCGAAAGCTCCTACATTAAATTGAATTGACGGGAGGGGCAGAACAAGCCGCGAACACGATGCCCCTCTCCGAAGGATCCGGCGCCGGCCCACACCCAAAGCAAAGGACACAAACCCAAACAGAGTAAACCCTAAACCCTAAAACCTCATCATGAACTGCGAAACCGGAAGCAGAGGTGCTGAACAAACGCGATGACATCCACGAGATTTACTTATTCGCCCCTCGGCTTCCATTTTCTGGGCGGTGCAGGGGTTTTTAGGGGCGTTCGGAGGTTGGGGAGGGGGGTAGCAATAGGGAGGGCGGTTTAGGGCGTAGGTAGGGGAACGTCCGGCGCACGATGTTGCAGCAGGTCTGATCCTGACTCTAAGTTGTGTGTTGGAGTTGACGGCCCACTCTGCTGATCAGCTTTCAACCCTAAACCCGAAACCCTAAGCCCTAAACCCAAAACAAGTGACTTCTCACCACGTCTGCTTGCGCAAGGTGACAGATGTGAACGATTTCTACAACAGCAGCTGTGCTTCCATAGTGATGCAGGGTTAGGCGTGCCCTAAACTGATGCCCCAGACGTAAATAAGGATCCCACTTCGGGCGTGGTAGACGGACTCCCTAGACGAGCGGCTACAAAAACAGACTTAAACTTGCGACATCCGTGTTTTTGATATAGTATAGCAGCTTAGCTTCAATATAATTACGGTTGCTATTCATCAAGGCTCCTTGCTATGATTCTAAATTGTCAGGCCCCTAAAACCTGAACCCTAGAACCCTTGCAGTTAGTAGCCTGATAGAAGCCCTTACAGGAACCATGCAAAGGAAGCCCTAAAAGAGCCCGAGTCTTTCTACTTAGGCCCTCAAGGAGTCGCTGGACTGTCACCCCGGTGGACTTCGCATCACAAAAAACAACAAAGAGCCCGAAACCCTGGGTTCAGGGTTTAGGGTTTATCTCCGGCCCGCAAGACCTTGCTGACCTACGTTTTTAAGGAGCTGTATATAGAATCTACTATACTAGGGGAACCCTAAACAGGCAGGTCTTTTCGAGAACAGGTTTAGGGCTTCGAGTTTAGGGTTTATGGCTTTAGGGGTTTGGGGAACCCTTAAGAATCCTCATGATCACTGTGCAAGGGGTTTTACCGTGGATGTCAGCCTTGTAATTTCGTTTCGCCATCCTTGCTGTTGTCATGCTTACTTTCGCAGTCCCGTGGCGACTGAAGAGGTCATGTAACCCTACACCCTAAACCCTCAACCCTGTACTATTGCTGCAGGTTTTAGTCGGCGTTTTAGACGAAGCCGAGGTTACCACGGGCCACCGCAAAGTGGCGACCCGCAGATCTTCATCCATTATGCGGCGGGAGGGTTGAGGGTTTAGGGTTTTTGTGAAGCGGGTCTAGGGCTTCGGGTTCGGAGCAAACCTATAGGTTTGAGGTCCGCAGTACGTCGAGCAGAAGCAGTTGGCAAACACTACAACGCAAGCTTCCACAAGTTGCTGAGATGCTCACAATCATTCTAAGGGTGCTGACCCTGGTATGTAGGAAACCCCTACCTGTAGTCTCCATTGTAGTTCCTTTTTTTGGTTTAACCAGGCATATGCTAAGGATTCTAAAAGGTATCCCCAAAAAGGAACTACAATGGAGCCTATAGGTAGAACCCGAAGCCCTGGCACCCTCGATTTTTTTGCTGCACGATCCTGCGGCGGAGCGACCATGGAGGTCCAAGACGGCCGTGTGCCGCTGCCTTCGGCGGATGTGGTCATGGTAGCTTGGCCACGGCTTATGGGGACCAGTGGCTGGGTTTTGGAGTACCATGCTTTAATCCTTGTCGTGGTACCTTTTTGCTTAAAGGAATTCTCATGAAATAAAGAAGTCTACACCTTTTGCCCCGTGGTTACTTCAAGCCGAGGCAGATCAGGGGGAAAGTAGACCTAGAATGGTCGTACCCCCCAACTGAGCTATTTAGGTATCACTCCACCTATGACGTACGTGTTTGACATTTGCCCTGAGTCCTGCGAGAGGCTTGTGGAAGCCGGGTGGAGCCCATATAAACAAGCATCAAGTACTTATAAATTGCTTTAACGATTCTTAGACGAAGCTACTCAGACCCCTATAAACATAGTGAAACCCATACCAAACCTTATGTAGAATCTCATGTAAGCCCTTGCACCACCTTAAAAAGCCCATTCTCAACCCTAAACCCTCGACCCTGAGCCCTAAACCCTAAACGGAACCTCGCAATTTCCATGTGAAATCTTAGGAGACCCTTCTGAGACAGAGCTAAGCTCCTGAATCCTAAACCCTAAACCCCAAAACCCTAAACCCGTAAACCCTAAACCCCTAAACCCTAAACCCTGATCCTTAAGCCTTAAACCCTAAAATCCTACATCGAAGCTCCTAAACCCAGAATCCCTGAACCCTGTTTCGCCACACCGGAAAGCAGGTACTATTCGCATACCTGGAGTTTTAGGGTTAGGGTTGGGGGTTTAGGGGTTTAGGGTTTATGGGGTTTAGGGTTTAGGGTTTAGTTAGGGGTGTGACGAGAATCCCAAAGCCAATTCGGCTGCTGCGGCCTTTGGGAGTGTCACGCCTCGCCGTGTTTTTTTCTGGAGGAGCTGATTCCCGACCCGTGCATCTTCTTGTTTTAAATCGTTTAGGGTTTAGGGTAAAGGTGATCCCCCCAACAAAAAAGGGTGCTTAAGACTTATAACATATACTACTATAAAATTCTAGGAGTCTAGGGCCTTGGGCTCAGCCGCAATCGTCTGACCATATATGGCCCTAAACCTGCAAGCCTAAACCTAAACCCTAAACCCCAAACCCTCCCAACCCCAACCCCAAAACCCTAAACTCACTCACTCACACGCTTGCGGGCAAGGTCCGGTTCGATCAATCGTGCATGGCCAAAATTGAGCTTGCTGTAAGCCCAAGGCCGAAACTCAACAAACAGCGGAACGGGCGAGAAAAGGCTTAGCCAGAACCCAGCGACCGAGTCCGGTAGACAAAGGAAGCACGGACAGGGAGGACCCAAGACAAGGCACCTCCAGAGCAGCGAGAGAGAAGGTCACCGAGGTCTCGACACCACAAGGGCGGAGGGCACAAGGCGTGAGAGGCTGCAAAAACAGACCGCCCGGAGAAGCGGAGGAAATGAAAACGAGCGGCCGGAAGAAGGGTACGAAGGAGCAGAAGTCCAGCTCGACTTGGCGTACCAAGGATCCAGAAGAAACCCCGTGAAGAGAGGGCATCACAGATAGTGCGGAACGTAACAGTGGCAGCCAGAAAATCCAACAAGGACGGAGCGGGCCCTCGGGAGTGGGGATCGGCAGGCCCCGCAGCAGACTTCCTCACCACAGACGAGGCTGAGAAGGAGCGCGAATCCCATGGTTCGAAGGTAGTCATGGCCTGCCACACGCGCCAATACTGGTGCCAAGCCGACGGTAGCTGGCACCCGAAGGGAGCACAAAGTAATCCAGACCATAGCGGCGACGGAATACTCAAGTCAGTAGCCTCAGCCGTGGAGGGGACCAGGAGAGTAAACCATCTAAGACTACCCTTCGTAGTTCTCGGGGAGACAGGCACTGCAGCAGCGAAGGCAGAGGAAGCGATGTCGGCAGAGGCCGATACGGTGTCGGTGCCATCGTCGTTGCAACGAGAGGTCGGCTGCATGTCTGTGTCGGGCCACGAATAAACATCAGTGGCACCTGTGGCATTGAACAGTTCTTCAGACAATTCAAGCTGGGTACATTGACGGCCTTGGAGGGACGCAAGCCGTTGCGCCCGCGTAGCGTTGAGCGGCCCAGGGAGTCGATAGGCAGGCAATCCTCGATGGACCCGTGGTCCAGAGCGCTTAGTGCCACTGCCATAGACATAGGCTTCTCCAACAGTCACCCGCAGGCCAAGTACACACTCCGGCCTGGTTCGAAGGTGATATTTAAGCCTATCAGTGGAATGCTGCTCACAATTGCACCATAGACAGACCGTGCCCTGTGTGTACCGTGTCAGTACATTAACAAGGCTGTGTTTCCGATGCAAATGCGCGGCGAGGGCGTGCACACTCGGAAGCTTAGCCTGGCAAAGAGGGCAGGAGCGCGGCTCAGCTATACCGACGACGGCTTTAGCTCGCGGGGAGATCACATCGTCCCAGACTGCCCAAACAGCCTTCAGCAGTGTACCTCATCGGCTGAGTTTCTTGCAGGCCTTAAGCAAGGGACGAGCAAACTGCCGAACAAATGCAACGGACGCAGCCTGATAGGGTTGCTCAGGAAGGGCGGCGGCAACCTGTCGCACACTATCAGCAAGTACCTCACACCAGGGTGTAGCACGATTCCACGCCGCATCAAATATTTCAAAGACAGCTAGAGAACCCAAGATCCCTCAATTAAGGAATATACCTTAAATCATAATATTAAGGCCCCTATAATTTGAGGTATATATCTTAATTCCCTTATAGAACCTTTATAGAGACCCTTATAGATCCCTTTAAGGCCCCTATCATTTAAGGTATATTCCTTAATTAAGGGGTGTTGGGCCAGTGTTGGGTTCTCTGTCTCTCAGGCAATGCATCCGGACTGCAGCTCCTCTTACCTGACCAGCTTCGGGGGTGCCTACCAGGCTTGGGATATTATGGGATTGTGCATTTGGAGGTTGAGGGGCTTGGGGTGTTTTGGGTTTGGAGGTTTAGGGTGTGTGGGTTTTGGGTTTGAATGTTTAGGGCTTTGGGTTCGGAGGTTTAGGGCTTTTGGGTTTAGGGTTTGGAGGTTTAGGGAAGTTCCTCAGTCGGAAAATGCAGAGTGCCCGTTTCTATAGGTCTCAAAAGGCAACGGCAGTAAAAGGCCAACCCATAAGAGCTTTGTGCTGACTGCAGGGTTGCACTTTATTAATTGGTTCTAACAAGAGCACTAACATAATGTGGACCTGGGATTGTGTCCGAGCGCTTTAGCCTGATGTTTGCAGCGCAAGAGTCCTCTAATCCATCATGCTGTCCGAACCCCAAGCTCGAAAACTCAAGCCCGAACGGAGGGAGTGGGGGGCAGAGAGCAGCGGCAAGGACCAGGAGGGACAAGGAGTGATTCAGCGTTGCGCGAGGATGCAGGGCGTACTGATGCGCGTACTCATTTCTGATCGTAGTCGTCGTCCCTCGCGAAGGCATCCCCCTCAAGTGTTGCGTCGCTGTTTGTTTTCGTAGGAGTGTCTGTCTGCAGTTCCTCACCTGTCAAGAAATCGTCTTTCCGACCCCTATGCCAGTCTGCAGGATGCCTTCCTGAAGGAAGTTAAATTGTGAGGGGTATCTCTTCATCACGCGATTGGAGCCTCGTGGCCAGGGACACTACTACATGTGGCAGCACATCCTGCAGAATGCCATGAACAGTCTCTCGGCCTAATAAAATCGGGGCCGTGATAATTGGAGTAGGGTTCTGGGAGGCACGTTGTGGCCGAGTTATACCCAGTGAGGGAAGAGCAATACCATTATTCAGACTCCTACGATAGAGTAAACCGCTTCAAGACTCAGGGTTTGCAGCTCAAGGTAGTGTTGAAGAGGACTGCCGCTCTTACGGATGTTGTCTAGGGACGAGGGTATAGGGCTAAGTCTGAGGATTTTAAACCTGATGAAGCGGAGGTTGTAGAGCTTGCAGTGCTGTAGGTGCTGCTTACTTCAAATCCCACACCATGGCCATTAAACCAGATGTAGTAGCTTCTTACAATTCCTAGACCCCAGACTGGGGATTTCCCAATGCTTTCAAGCCCGAAAAGCCCGAAAGAGTAATGGAAGCTGTACAAGCGATATCTGACAGCTTTAACTCCTTAGTCTGAACATAGTCTGCAATACCTGCCGCCTGCGCCACCCGACTCTGTGCAGTCTTAGCCACCTTCCCAGAAAGCCCGATACCCCTTAATTGAGGAATATACCTCCAATTATAGGGGCCTTAATATTATGATTTAAGGTATGTTCCAGAATAAAAGGATATTGCGTTCTCTGGGTTGCTCCCCCTGCAACGACTGCCACAGCTGATCTCGAGGCGCGCCTTTGGTCATCGCTGCAAACCTCTGGTTGGAGGACAAGACCCCGGACTCTAAACCCCAGCACACCTACATGCCTGACAGTTCACAGGTTGTAACTTTACTGTTCTGTGCTGTTGGGGGCTACATCTAAACCCTGAGCCCTAAACCTTAAACCTTAAACCCTAAGCCCTAAGCCCTAAATCCTAAACCCAAAAAAAACCTAGCCTTAACCCCAAGCCGAGGATCCGAAACCAATGATGCCAGGCAGTAAACTCACTACAGGTCATAGCCCAATCTAAACAGCCGAACTTCAAAGAAGTCGCCCTAAACCCAATTCGTTTAGGGTTTAGGGTTTATAGAAGTCGCCCTAAACCCAATTGCTAAAGCGCTATAACCTCTGAACCCAAAGCAACGAACCCTGACCCTGAAACTCCCCGGAAGGCCCCAGGAACATACCCCCCTCTACCCAATACCCCTTCATTAGGAATATACACCCCACCTGTAATTTAAGGTATATTCCTTAATTACGGGGTATCAGAGATCCCAATAATACTGTCCTTTAAACCACAATAGTGAGGCCCCTCATCATGTAAGGTATATTCCCAAATTAAGGTACATTTGGGAGCTCTCGGTATATTCCTTAAGTACGGGGTATCGGGCTCCCTGGGTCTACCAGAGCATCCACGGGCTCGTGAGGAGTCTCTGGAAGTGCAGCAAGTGGCGCGGGCACAAGGCCCCGGGAATGTAAAGGGCTTTGTTGTTTTTCGGTTGTTCGGATTTTCGGCTTTTTAGGTCTTGAGAAAGTAAAGAAAGGTTTTGGCGTTGCGGAGTTTTTCGGTTTAAGGGTGTAGGCTTTATCTTAGCTAGGGCTCAGGTGTCTTCTTCGCATGGGGCTTGAGGGACGTAGGATGCGGGGTCTAGGTTTTTCTGTCAAGTGACTGGTGCTCGCAGATGATCGCAGTTGCGAATGCCTGTCGAGGTTTAATTTTCGGCCGACAGGCAAGTTTCGGTTGCAGATGGTTGAGGGTTCAGGGCCAACAAATCCAGGATTTCGCGTCTCTAGAGCTGCTATATTTGGGGGAAGTCCAGACGTCGCAAGGTCCCACCTAGAGTTCCTACAGTGGTTGGGAACATGGCGGGAAAGCCGATACCAGGCATGGTCGTGTCCGCTGCACTGAAGAATCGCACCTGCCATGGCTGGACTGTGACGGCGCCGCTGTTCCCAGGCGTGAAATAAGCTCCACTTCGATGTAGGGCTCTACGTAGGAAGGGCTCCTTGCCTCTAGTATCAAGGCCTCTTGGGCTTATTCCCAGAGAGCCCAATATCCTTTAATTAAGGAATATACCTTAAATCATAATATTAAGGCCCCTAGAATTTGAGGTATATATCTTAATTCCCTTATAGAACCTTTCATAGAGACTGTCGGTGTAAGCGCTGAGCCATGAGCCATCCGAGGACCTCCAATGTGAGGGACCGGCAGCCCTTCCACTACCTGGTCTGAGACTTGGGAGATGTGTGGGGTTACCTTAACCTAAAAAAACCCTACTTTTTTTGCAGGTTCTTATATTATGAACCCTGATAGGGGATTTATAGGGGCCCTACAAACAAGTAGGTTCTGGTGGGTTAAGGTAGGCTGCATAGGGTGTCGGGTTACGGGAAGACCATTAGTAGGGTTTGTGGTTTCGGATGAAGTTTTGGAACATGGCTGGAAGATGGCCAACTAGACCCTCTTCTAGCTGAAGCCTAATCCCTAATTTAATCACCCTAATGCCTACATCACATCTGGCACCCTTAGGGAACTAAGCACAGCAACTCTACAGCCGCCGAGTTGCTGAGGTCATTGCGCAGAAAGTGCCGGCAAAGGTCGTTCTGTCCATCACGCCTGGCCAAGAAGATTACGCGGGCGGGTATCAGACCCTCGACGGTCTAGAGTTTAGGGTTTCAGACCGCTGACGAGCCGCACACCTTGGTCGTCATCAGGGTTTGTAGGCTTCACCTGCTTACTGAAGCCCGAAACTCGCCCCTAAACCCTAGCCTAAGCCCCCAACCCTAAACCCTAAACCCCTAAACCCTTAACTGCTTTGTGCCAAGGAACCAGTGGACCATGGCAAGTCAGCAATACTGGCAGCAACCTCCTCAATGGCAGTACCCTCCACCTGCGTGGGCGCCTCCGTCCTACCCTGCGCCCTATGGCGCCTTCCCAGCCCCTCATGCCTACCAAACACCGTGCCTGGGTGCTTCGAGAGATCCAAAATTCCAAGATTTTGCGTTGTTTGGAAACTCTGATTCTTGTCAGAACGATCGTGTGTCTTCGTCATTGCTGTAGAACCAAGGTACTATAAGCCTCCGGAAGCCCGCGTTCATCAACCCGTGTGGTACTAGTGATGGTACCTACAATTCAACGAGTCAAGACGCCACAAAAGTTTGGACGAGCATCGGTTCCTTGGAGTGGTATCAGTTTTCCGGGAGCATTAGCCTCGACTTTGCGGAGGTAGTCCAGGTAGTGACAAGTGCTTGTTTGTTTTGCTGTCACAGGGATAGTTCCGTATTCAGAATAGTCGGGACCTTGGGCGTTCCCACACATTGCAGTTGTCCGATACTGCAAGTGAAACCAAGGATACGCAGTCCTCGTTGCTGGTAAGCCGACACCTCACAGCAGGCCAGCGGCATGGCACCCGGAGTTCGCATTGCGGACCCAGCTTGCCCATTTAAGCACTGGACTTTAAGGTTTTGGATCTATAGGCCTCAAGAAGCATTTCAGGGCTGTGTAGTTCAGGATTAATTCATGCATGCATCCTCAATACCAACCCCTGGTGCTCTGCAAGGCATTGCCAGTGTAAGTTTATGAGTGATAAACCCTAAACCCTGAGGCCAAAAACCACAAGCTAAAATCCCTGCGAGCCCCGATTACGATTCTTTCCGAAGCACCAGGGGGGAGAGTCAACCGTGCTTGCTCTCGCCTGCCTGTTGCCTCAAAAGGGTGATGGCATGGCACCTACAAGCCGGTGTCGACTGAAAAAGCTGCAAAAAGAGATTGCTTTATGTAAAGACTGACTAATGTAGCAGCCGTGATGACTCAGAACAGGGAGGTGGTTGAATGCCTGAGATGACCAAAAACCCAGTGTGCTTCCTCCCGAGAAGTAACCACCCAGACCTTCACCCCTAAACCCCTAAACCCTAAACCTAAACCCTCAACCCCAAACCCTTAATGTACTCTAGATCCTGCTATAATCACTATTCCTTAAAGGGGGTATTATTGGAAGGTCTAGGCCCCTTCTCCGAAGGGCGTAAACCCACTTCCCTGAACCCTAAAACCGGCTCGTAGGCAGCGCCTGAGCCCGTTCAACCCTTTCAATCCAACAGGAAAACCCTAAACCCTATAGACCCTGAATCCCAAGCCCAAGACCCCAATAAACCCTTTGCGGCTCCCTAAACCCCTAAACCCCTAAGCCACCTCCAAGCAAGGATTGGAGCCAGAATCCCGACGTTTTCGGCAAATCAAGCTGGAGGGCCGCCGCTGCTACAAAGGCGGGCCGTTGGCCGAAGGGCTAGGTTTAGGCTTTAGGGCTTTTAGGGTTTAGGGTTCAAACTAGTGTGCTTCAGCAAAGTTTAGGGTCCAGGGTGCTTCAGCAGAATTTAGGGTTTCGGGTCTACTTGGAGAGTCGGGGGACTTACAAAGTAGGTCATAAGTAGCCCTCCTAATTGGGGTTATGATGCCTACGAACTACTTACTAAGTCCCCCGACCCTCCAAGTAGGGTGTTCCAGCAAAGTTAGGGTCGAGGGGTCTATGGTTTGGGTGAAGGCGAGTAAAGTTTGGTTTCTGTGGCTCTTACGGTTGATGGTATAAAACCTGCATTATCCATAATAAGGAAAATACCATAATTCTCATAGCTTAGGGTATTTTATATCATCGTAGCGCCGTAGTTGGTGTTCGGGGCTTGCGGTTCTTCAGGGTTGAAGCGAGAGGGCTTCCCTCGACCCCCCAACTACCCTCTAGTATACCCCAAAAACCCTCTGTTAAGGACCATCTGGGCTTTGTCAAAGGGTACTTGGGGGTGTTCCTGGTAGTGGCCACGGGGTTGTACCAGGATGTTGGGTTCGGTGTTTCTTTGGCTGCAGCCGGTGAGCTTCTTGGGACTTCCGGCGCAGGGTACCTCCCGACATTACGGCTGCCATAGGCGTTTAGGGTTGTTTATAGGGCTTAGGATTGCTAATCTCGTTTCCCCTCTCCCCGCTTTGGTCGCCCCATGATCTGCGATAACTAGATACCAGATAATTACAGCTCCCAACCCAATTCTCCTCAACCGCCTCAACCCTAAACCCAAACCCCCTGAACCCGAAACTTTAAACCCAATCCCAATTTTGTTGTGGGCTCCTTTTGGGCTCCTAAACCCCAAACCCTAAACCCTAAACCCCAAACCCCAACCCTACACTTTGAAGACCCCCCCCCCCCCCAAGCTCCACGCGGCCCGGCAGGCGTTCTCGCAGACGAGGCCCGGAGTTCTTGGGTTTTTTGGTTTGGCCGTTCGCAAGCTTAGTAGAGCCTTAAGCAGAGGAATGGGGCTCCTTAAAGGGCTCCCGGATGTCCGTAAGAAGAGGAACGGGGCTCCTTAAGAGGGTCCCCGGATGTCCTTAAGAAGAGGAATGGGGCTCCTTAAGAGGGTCCCCGGATGTCCTTAAGACGAGGAATGGGGCTCCTTAAAAGGGTCCCCGGATGGCGAAAGGGATACTGCACGATCTCAATATTTAGAATCGGGGCTTTGGGGGCATAATATAAAAAAATTGGCTAGACGAAGTCATTATAATCCTATAGATCCCTGCACGCCCCCAAAAACCTCAGGATCCTGCATCACCAGGGGCTGAGTAGGTAACATTTTTAACCTTTGGGGGCCTAAAAAAACCTAAACCCTAAACCCTACATTAGCACCCTAAACCCTAAACCCCATTTAAACCCTAAGCTACCCTAAACCCTAAACCCTAAATAGCACCCTAAACACTAAACCCCATTTAAACCCTAAGCTACCCTAAACCCTAAACCCTAAATAGCACCCTAAACCCTAAACCCCATTTAAACCCTAAGGTACTCGGCCCCTAAGCTCTCGACCGCAGAAGGCCCGGCTCCTCTGCTTTTCCCATGGGCGGCTTCGGCGCCGGCCAGAGGCCAGACAGCTTTCGGACCTCTTTGAATAGGGGAATTGGGGTTTAGGGTTGAGGGATGTTTAGGGTTTAGGTTTAGGGGTTTAGGGTTTAGGGGGCTAGGGTTTAGGGTTTAGGGGAGTTAGGGGAGTTAGGGGTTTAGGGGTTAGCGTTTAGGGGGTTAGGGTTTGGAGCTTAGGGTTTAGGGTTTCAGGGTTTGGGGTGTAGGGTTTAGGGTTTAGGGTTTAGAGATAGGTTATGTGGTCTACGCTAGGGGCGCTAGAGCTTTCCGTCACGTCATGCTACACTTGGGGCGCTGCTGGTTGTTACTACTATTGATTTGTGTTTTTAAGAAACCGCCCCAAGGTTATAGCAAAGAGAATTCCTACTTTGGGTCAGAGGGGCTTATAGACTGGACCGTCAAGCTACAACCTCAAAGCCTTTTCTTGAACCCTGGTCCCTTTGCCCAGCCTGGCTTTCCAATCGCAGGTATCTTCTCTTCGTTGGTGCCGGCCCCGGCTTTGTCGACGTAGGGCCTACTTTAGCCTGCCAAAACTCACATTTTGTTTGTCGCAGCCCTGTAAATTCTGTGAGCCTGCCCGTCGTGTGGCTTTCAGGGTCAGATCATCCCCTTTAACCCTGAAAGTTTACACGTTTTTGGGCTTATGAATTCAGTCGCTGGACACCCGAAAGACAGAAATGTCCCACAGAGACCTTGAGTAGTTTGATGCTCCCAGGATTGGTGGCTTTCCGGGTCATAGCTTTCGGGTTTTGTTGGGCGCAGCTCCTTGAGGGCCTGATTTGTAGGGAGGAGGGTCTAGGGTTTAGGGGCCTACTAGGCATCAAGCATCCCTCGCTCTGGACCGACCTCCTCCTCCTCCCCTGAACCAACTGAGTCAGGGTTGTGATTGCCCTCTGAGGAAGGAGGGTTTTAAATGCGGCTTCTTGTTTTGGAGTTTATCATGTTTGCCTTGCAGCGTATACGGTCGCATTGGGTTTCAGGGACTTGTTGTGTGGGGCTTCCGGTCTTGTTTGAGAGCATACATGACATGACCTCAGCATCCTGCTGGAAGGCCTGCCGCTTGCTTTGTACTGCAGCGACTGCCCACACCTCTACCAAATCCTGCCAGACACCCAGAATGACAGGGGCGGCTGCTTGCCCTAAACCCCGAAACCCTAAACCCCTAAACCCCTACACCACGGACGGGGTTTGCGGCGTATACGGGCTGTCCAAAACCTTTCGCCTGAGCGCCACATCGCACAGAATTGCAGGAACGGGTCTGAAATGCTATTCCTGTTCTGCTCATAAACGAGCATATTCCCAGAGATCCCAAAATCCCTTAATTAGGCAGTGTACCTTAAGTTATAGGGGCTTAATCGTGTGGTTGAAGGCGTTTAAGGTATATTCCTTAATTACGAGGT